AGAAAGCCAAAAAAAGACCAAAAAAGCATACTGCAACGGCTCTGGAAACTAGCCGTTGGGATTGATCTGACAGAGCTGCGGTCGACCGCGAGTAACAAAAAATCAACAAAAAACTCCAGAGAGTTCGACGGCCGACCGCGACGGTCGACCGTGAGAAATTTTCAGCTGACGGTCGACTGTGGCAGTCGACCGCGAAAGTTTCTGCTGCACACTATGCAAAAGACTCAGGCGCGGTCGACCGTGGCGGTCGATCGTGAACTGATATATGAAAATGAAGTTCTGAAAACTGTTTTTCTGATTTTAAAACACTGTTTAAAAATATCAAATAAATTCTAAAAAATGTAAAACTTTGGGAAATAGTTGTAGACATGATAATAAACATGCTACAATGAATGGTTTCTAAAAAGGACTTCCCAAATGAAAAATATCATCATTTTACAAAATAGGCCAAAACATAATAATGTAAACATGTGAATTTTGACATTTTGGCTAAACCATGTTTTGAAACTTTGCACAATGATTATGTAGACTTAATAAAATATGTATATGATGATTGTTAAGTCCAAAAACTAAGAATACAATATTTTTACAAATACAATAAAAAATAAAACATATGAGTATGTATATGAAAATATATTTGTTTCATATCTAAGCAGTTAAACCAAATCACAATAATAAATATGAAAACCCAAAACCATGCATGTATATATATAACTATATATATACATAGAAACCAAATACGTGTGTGTATATGATATTGAGCTTAAGGTACTTAACACACATAATATAAAACCTAAACTAAGTTACCCAAGCTAGATCTTGATCTTCAATAAGCTCGACTTGGCACACTTGCGGATGAAGCTTGAACTTAGATCTTGAACTTGAATTATACATAGCTTCACCTACTATTCCGCTAACCTCCATTAGATATTATCGTTGAAGCTCTATTCCATCCATCCTCCAACATATTGTTTGCCTAGAATAAATATAAAACACAAACATTAGACAAACAATATTAGATGTAAATTATCTGTAAATCATCATTAAAACAAGAAGGCCAACACTCTAGAGGTGGCTCCTACAGGCTCTAGAGATGGCTCCCACCATATCCACACGGTGTAGCACTTAGCCCATATAGTACTTAGTTTTATACTTTCACCTGGCAACTGTTCTAATACCATTTTGTCATGTCCCGGACCTACGGGTCCGTTGGTGCGTGCAAGCCATGAGACCCACCAAGAGTAACTCGATGTTAGCTTAAATCCACTACCAAAATATTAGCACTAGTTGTTCTTGGGCCTTGGGCTTCTTTATTTAAGCCACTAATATTTCTTCACACTAGTCCATGTGGGACTAAAGTGTAGGTGTCACAGGAACGTTCGTACAAGGAGTGTTTTCCTACTAATGAGGAGTTGAGTACTTACTCTCATACTACCCATGTTACAGAGGCTTTTCAAGAATTGGTCTGCCACTTCCTCATTTGCCAGAGGACTACTGGGAGCACTAGACATGACCATACTGTACCTTGCGTTCCTTGGGCAGAGTTTTTATTTCCCAATGTTAGTAAAAAGGAAATGTAGGCGCGATTCCTCCAGCCACGAATGTTGATGTCGAGACTCGCATATTCAAGGATGGCTCCATGTTGCACACTACTGACTCTGACGTGTGTGGGTTTCATGTCAGTGACCAATTTGAGAGTTTCTATTACCAGGCAAAGGAGACAATATATGAGTTGGCATTGCTTGTAGGGTTCTTCTCTATTTGGCTGAAGGGTTGTGTCGTGCCTTCTTAGCTGAAAGCTTGCATCTCAATTAAGGTGCTATTCCCAGATATGTTGTTGGCCTCTCGGTACAGCTTAGCTCTTCTACCGACGATGATGAGCTGCATTCATCATGACCTAAGAGAACTGGCCACTGAATATTTGAAGCAAGGGTAGTGTTGCCCGAGGAATCAAGTACCTAATCCTAGGGTGGAGCTACTGTATGCCTATTTGGTAATATGGTTCACTCAGCACTGCCCTCAGTTGATGTCAGCCGCTATGCCTAGTAGTGGGAACGTTGCCTTGCTTCAGAGGTACGAACATTCGAAATGGCTCGTTAAGTACCTTGTTGGGGTTCCTAGGATTCTCCAGAATAAGGACCAATATCGTCTTTACTGTTGCTTTTCCTCAATTGACGGTGTTAGTCATGGGGACGAGTTTAAAGACGCTATGAGTAGCGAGCGCTTCACTTGGTTGCCTAGTGGGTGTTTCAACTGGTTGGTAAACATCTGACTAGGTCACCTTGTAGCTAGGTTGAATGGTATGGAGTGCTACATCGAACCCTATTAGCCATGCCGATTTGCTCGTCCAATTTGGCTATGATTAGTTGTACGTTGGGAATCCAAACCCAAGATTGCTATGGATAGGGAGCTTAGTCGACAGAGCTCGTGCTTGGTACCACTTTGTTGCAGGGGCTACAGGGGCTCAGTTCTCGCTTCCTCTGCACATGCCCAACTATTACATGACGTTGGGGTTTTACAAGTGGTATAGCAAGGTGGTTGTTCCTACTCATGAGCTTCAGGTGAATAAAACTGGTTTGTATTGGATCACTCGATGGTATAAGGAACTATTCTAGAAGGGTTCAAAGAGCAGAGCTCCTGGACTTTTAGAAATTTTGGCGGAAGGTTTACCAGATGAAGGTTGGGAAGAGCAAGCTGAACACCCTACTCCTCCAAGATAGGTCGGTATCAACATTTGAGAGCCGACTGAGCTAGCAATTCAGCAAGGAGTACCTGATAGCGGATGAGGGAAAGGAATGAGGCTATTACATGTTCCTCCTCCTCCACCTTCTTTGAAAAAGTAACGCTTAGCATCTCCTGAGCCTAAATCCATGCCTAGAGACTCTTCATGGACTAGAGAGGAGTCTCCTGCGATCCTAGTACAAGAACCTAGGGTTGGCTCTTCAAGTGATTTCCATTCACATGCTCATAACTTTCATCTTACAATGCTTTTAGCTGATGCGCTTCTTTTATGCAGGTAAGGAGCCCATTCCTCTAGACAACGAAGAGGAACAAGTGGATTATGGGCATGATGACACCGATACTAACTTGACCAAGCCCGAAGATGCTGACCATATTGGTGACGTTGAAGGCTTAGATGATGAATATGATTTCGAGGCTGTAGGTGAAGCGATGTCTACACCTTTTCCTGTGAGTGGTGGTTTCAAACTGGTCATTGATTTTGCTAGTGCTTCCAGTATCTTGGTGTCGACTCCTACTTTTGAAATGACTGAGGCTCCTGCACCAGCACCTGCTTCATTAATATGGTAAAGGTTGATTGTTTATGGTGTTTCTGATGATGATGATGATGTTTCAATTTCTCCTGTGCTGGCGGCAGTTGAAAGGGAGGGGCCACAAAGCCCTAAACCTCATTCCAATGATGGTCCAAGCGAAGCTGCCGCTATGCTTAGTGAGCCGGAGGTTTTTATCTACCGATATTGAAGTTGTACCTGTGGATATGCCTATGACGACGACGATGGTTGCGAGGGTGATGATCTCTTCTATAGTCTCAAACATCTTGGTGACGCTTGCATCATATGTTCTTGGAGGAGCTTTTGATGATGTTCATCAATTGTCATTTTCTTAGTGATGACAATTCTTAATGATGGTACCTAAATTTCTAAAGGGATCACGACTTTGCATCCGTAGACCAATGAGAATGGCGTAGAGCTAGTAGGAGTATGGAATGTTGTTCAGTAAGCCCATAAACACTCTTCGAGTTTCTCGTCCCAATAACGATTGTTGGAGGAGATGAACTTCTTCAGAAGTTTGATTATAGTTTTGTTGAAAACTTTAGCTAGACCATTAGCAGTTAGATTGTATGACGTAGAAGTCACATCTTGGATTCTATACTTGTTGTAGAATTTGAAGAATGGCCGACTGACGAATTACAAACCGTTATCGTGAATGATTTGTCTAGGAATGCTAAATCAATAAATCACGTGATGTCTCAAGAATTTTATCACCTGAGATGTCTTGACTTCTTTGAGGGGAATAGCTTCAGCCTCTTTGGAGAAGTAATCTGTGATGACCAGGATGAATTGATGACCTTAGGTGGACGGTGGGCTGATTGGCCTAATAATGTCCATGCCCCAAGCAAATGGCCAAGAGGCAACTGTCGGATGCAATTCTTCCGGAGGTTGATGTAGGAAGTCAACGTGGATTTGATGCGCATGACATCATTTAGCATATGCTACTGCATCTACTATCATTGTCGGCCAGTAGTAGCCTAGATGATAAAGTCAATCTTGAAGTTTAGGACTTTGTTGATGAGATCCACATGCACCATCGTGGGCTTGCTTTAACACTTCTCGAGCTTCACTTAGTGATAAGCATCAGAGCAAAATACTGTCAAAAGATCGTCGGTACAAAGTCTATGTGACAGAATCATAGAAAAACATGGAGCTCTTCTTTGGATCGAGGCCACTTACTTCGGATCATCTGGTAGTATCACATGCAAGACATAGTCAATGATTAGGAACCACCAATCATTACCCTCGAAGTGAGTTGACCCGAAATACACTTCATTGGCTTCAAGAATTTGCTCCGAAGAGCGTAATTAATGGCTAGCCATGGTGGTACACCGGGTAGATTTGGGCACCAAACTACTATCATTGTCGGCCAGTAGTAGCCTAGATGATAAAGTCAATCTTGAAGTTTAGGACTTTGTTGATGAGATCCACATGCACCATCGTGGGCTTGCTTTAACACTTCTCGAGCTTCACTTAGTGATAAGCATCAGAGCAAAATACTGTCAAAAGATCGTCGGTACAAAGTCTATGTGACAGAATCATAGAAAAACATGGAGCTCTTCTTTGGATCGAGGCCACTTACTTCGGATCATCTGGTAGTATCACATGCAAGACATAGTCAATGATTAGGAACCACCAATCATTACCCTCGAAGTGAGTTGACCCGAAATACACTTCATTGGCTTCAAGAATTTGCTCCGAAGAGCGTAATTAATGGCTAGCCATGGTGGTACACCGGGTAGATTTGGGCACCAAAGCAAGTGTGGCTGCAAGGGATGCTAGAGCTTTCGCATGAGTAATTTTAAGGTGAGTTATGTAGCTAATGTAGAAGCCTTCAAAAGATTGAGCAAGCTTTGTTGCCACTTTATGGTAAGGCATGAGGTCGTTGTGGCGGACCTCATATTCTCCCTTGATCTGATTCACAATTAGTTTAGAATCACTGTGAACTTTAAGGTATTTGGCACCCATAACTTTAGCAAGTTGTAGGCTAATTATAAGAGCGTTATACTCGGCTACATTGTTGGAGCATGGCTTGGTCAATGAATAGGCCCAAGGGAGGACATGTCCATAGGGATCAATCAATACTACCCCTACTCCTACAATGACTACTCCCTTATAGCTACATCGTGACGCACTGTTGAAGTAGAGTTGCCATATTTGATGGTCTAAAATAACATTCGACTCAATGACTTCATCCGAGATATCTTCGTAGAGCTTGGAAGGCTTGGGAATAGGGTGTTTTGCTAGAAAATCGGCTATTACTTGACCCTTAACTGCTCTCTGCAGCATGAATGTTATGTCATATTGTGATAGCAGGATCACCCATTTTGTTAACCAGGAATTCGATGACCCATGTTTCATCATGACTATTCATAGAGGATTGACTCTTGAAATGATGTGAATGGATTAGCCAGTGAGGTAAAACCGTATTTTTTGAATCGTGAAGACTAATGCTAAATATTCCTTCTCGACTGGGTTATACCGATGCTTGGCACCGATCATAGTCTGGCTGAGGTAGTAGATGGCTTATTCATGGCCATTGTCTTTTTTTTTAGCGAGAAGTACTCTGAATGAATGATATATAGCCCTGACATAGATCAAGAATGGTTTACCTGATATTGGTGCGGCTAGCACCGTTGGCTTTGTGAGATAAGCTTTGATTTCATTGAATGCTTCTTGGCATGTGTCATCCCAGACGAATAAAACACCTTTCTTCATGAGTCTTTGGAATGGTTGACATTTGCCAGATAAATTGGTGATAAACCTTCGGATGTAGGCTAATCGTCCTTATAAACCTCTGAGCTCTTTGAGGTTTGTCGAAGGTAGCATCTCTTGAATGACCTTCACTTTTTCGGGATTGACGTGTATTCTTGTGGATGTTATAATAAACCCAAGGAATTTGCCTGATTATACACCAAGGAAGGATTTGGTTGAATTCATCTTGAGTTGGTGTTTATGCATGACTTCGAATATCGTTCTTAGGTCACCAACGTGGTCTTGTTTGTGATGAATTTTGATCATGAGGCCATCAACGTAGCACTCCACTATTTTACGCAAATGTTCATGAAAGATCATGTTCATAGTGCATTAGTAGGTAGCTCTAGTATTCTTCAGACCGAAGGGCATTACTGTATAACAGTATACTTCTAAAGGTATTCTGAAGGCTGTGTGTTTTTTATCATCAGGATGCATTTTGATTTCGTTGTGTCTAGAGAAATCATTCATGAAAGACATTCTCTCAAACCTACACATATTATCGACCATGACATCCGCGATAGGGAGAATGAACTCATCTTTTAGATAGGCGAGGTTTAGATTATGGAAGTCAATGTAGATTCGGATCTTACCGCTATTTTTCATTACTACCATGACGTTGGCCAACAAATCGGGATGTTGTTCTTCATGGATAACTTAATAAGCTTACGGATTTTCTTCTCGATTTGTTCCATTAACTCATGACAAAAGCGCCATTACTGTTGCTTGACAGGCTTAATGCTAGGGTTGATGTCAAGATGATGTACAGCTACGCTGGGGTCTAGACCCGGCATGTCTTCATAGCTCCAGGAGAAGACATTAATTTACTGTTAGAGGAGAACTACTAGCTCTTCCTTTTTAGTGGATGATAGACTTTCGTTGATAAAGATGGGCTTAGGTTTGATTTCATCGCCTATATTGATTTGAACCACTTTATCCTTGGTGGGTGGTTTTCTGACTTTGAAATGTGACTACTATTGCTTCTCAAGTTCCTTTGCCTCTCAAGTTCCTTTGCCCATGAATCGTCTTCATGATCTTTGAACACCTCGGATTCATTAAGATCTATAGTTAGGCTGTATAAAACCATGTTAGTTGTGAACTCACTACACAAGATTCCAAGGCTAACATCAGAATTCCAGTTGGACATGTTTGAAGGACTACATAGAAAGTCGTCAGATGTTGGTCCTGCTTGTGGCTCGACTTATGGAGAGATGTAAATGAGTCCTTGTCTGGTTTGATTGTAGTAATTAAAAACTTCACCTTCTGGTGTAAAAGGGATCAAAGGGACTCGTTGTTTGCGGAAAAAGTCGCTGTATTCATTGCTGCATTCATTACAACTTCGATCGTTACAATGAAATAAAAAGATAGTCTTTTTATAAGACCTTTACACAATGAAAACACAAGAAATGCAACTCCTTTCAAACAAACGCAAGAGCTGTTTGTCATCTCTTGCTTGCGTGGGTCTTTGGCCTGTGACGGGGACGTTGATATCCGTGGACCACCGGGGCAATCAGATCTGTTCCGAGAAAATCGGGCAGAGCTTCGTCTATCCGCGGAAGGATATAGAAGCAGAACTTCATCGAACCGCGTGAGATCTAGAAGCTATAAGCGTATACCTCGGCTAAAGCGAGGTAATAGCTCTTCTTAGTATTAACGCTAAAGGCTAATACTAAGGCTCGGACGGGTGATGAAGGCTCTGATCAAGACCTCTCCTCTTCTTGTTGAAGCTCACGGCCACTCTTCACTGCAGCAGGGCTTCGCCAAGGCTCTCCAAAAATCCCCCCTCCTCTCTCTAGCCTTGCTTCAAGACACCCCTGGGGTGTCTTGGTTTTGCCAAGACACCCCTCGGGTGTTTCGAGCTTGCCGAGACTCCATATGAGGTGTTTTGTTGGTTTCCCTGTATATTCTTCGTCCGGATTCGGATTTGAGTGATTCCGGGTGTGTTGGATGTTTGACGAAGAATTCGATCCGCTCTGGTGATTGGATTATCTGTAGAGTGGCCGAGGCATGAAGGGCGTTGTCCTATTTGTGAACAGTGCCAGGTTCCCGATTGGTCCGGGTCTTGGTTGTTCCGAAACCCTATCCGCTCACGTAGCTCGCCGACTCACTTCAGTCGTTCGTCGATGTCGATTAGGCTCATGTGGATCGGATAGTGACGTTCATCGTCGTTCTTTAATACTGAACCGTTTGTGGAGACCTATAGGCAATTTTCGATGCCTACAGATACCCCCTCCAAAGTGTTTCGGACTCGTCTCGTTTATAGAAGAGGCCGGAATACTTTGGATGTGATTGGTCTAGCCTTCAGTCGGCATCAGGACCTGTGGTTAGCTAGTCACGAGACCAATTAGGGGAGTTGATGCGTCAATGACTCGCAGTTATAGAATTTTTGGCAAATCCTCAGCCATCAACGGATTTGATTAGCCTTTACCGACTACCGTTTGAGTCGGGCTAGCATGCGGATTGTTTAAGTCCGCTCCTATGTGACGTTTAAGCTAAAAGAGTTAACCCTTTTAGTGCTACGATATTGAATACGTAGACTTCGTCTTTCTCACGGGAATAGACTACCCGGCGACGCGTGTTAGGCGTTGACTTTAGGATTTTTGGCTAATCCCCAGCCTTCAACGGATTTGATTAGCCTTTACCGACTACCGTTTGAGTCGGGCTAGCATGCGGATTGTTTAAGTCCGCTCCTATGTGACGTTTAAGCTAAAAGAGTTAACCCTTTTAGTGCTACGGTATTGAATACGTAGACTTCGTCTTTCTCACGGGAATAGACTACCCGGCAACGCGTGTTAGGCGTTGACTTCATCCCTGTCTTTTCTGAAAGCAAAGACAGAGGAAAAGTTGCTATGATTTTGAATACATAGACTTCGTCTTTCTCACGGGAATAGACTACCCGGCAACGCGTGTTAGGCGTTGACTTCATCCCTGTCTTTTCTGAAAGCAAAGACAGAGGAAAAGTTGCTATGATTTTGAATACATAGACTTCGTCTTTCTCACGGGAATAGACTACCCGGCAACGCGTGTTAGGCGTTGACTTATCCCTACTCAGGCTTCGGGATAAAATTCCCCGTGCATCGAGTGCCCGGATTTGACAATCGTGTCTTTTCTAAAAGCAAAGACAGATTGAGAAACGGGAGAGGAAGAATTTTATATTCTATCTCCCGGTGCTGAAGAGGAAGAATTTTATATTCTATCTACAGCTGGAAAGGGAACTTGAGGTGGGATCCCCCACCCCCAGAATCCGGAATGATGAACTGGGAGTGGGTTCTCCACTCCGAGCATCGGAAAGGTCCGAGGAGAGGAAGAATTTTATATTCTATCTCCCGGTGCTGAAGAGGAAGAATTTTATATTCTATCTACAGCTGGAAAGGAAACTCGAGGTGGGATCTCCACCCCCAGAACCCAGAATGATGAAACTAAGAGTGGGATCTCCACTCCGAGAATCGGAAAGATTCGAACGACCCTAACTTTTATAGGATTGGTCACTCGATTTGAAAGTGGACCTCTCGTTCATTGGGGGAATCGAGAGGGGATTGTGGCTTTGGTCCTAACTTTTACAGGTTTGACCAGAAAGCAAAGAAAGTGAATCACGGTTAGCAAAGGAAATGCCAACTCGTATTATCACTCAAAGGGAGGCTTTAATGCTAGGCGTTTAGGACCTAGCATGTTAAGTCTGGGAAATGCCAATGACGGGTAAATGGAAACTTTGGTGGATCCCCTGTCGTTTAATTTGATCAGCGGATGGTTTGGTGAGGAAAGATTAACCTATCAGAGGATTGGATCTCATCTCACAAAAATAACTCATAAGAGTTAAAGAATAAGAAGAGACACCTTCAGGGTTCGAACGTGAATTTCTTATTCACCAATTCCACAATGATTGGGTTATCCCTAAGAATACCCATGTGGTATTCTTTCGGGAACTTCCCGATGCATTGGATTATCCACCCCCAGCTTCTCTCTTGGAACTGGGTTTGATTTTGTTATCCGACCGGGTTATCCTTAAGAATATTAGTATAATATCCTCCAGGAACTTCCCGTCAATGGTAGGAAATAGTTTAGACTCGTATACCTATTGGAGTATGTAGAGAGCAGTTTAACCTCATGCACCTGTTAGAGGATTGAGAAGCAGTTTATACTCGTATACTCTGTCGGAGTGTGAGAAGCAGTTTATACTCTTATACTTGTCGGAGTGTTGAGAAGCAGTTTATACTCATATACTCTTCGGAGTGTTGAGAAGCAGTTTATACTCATATACTCTTCGGAGTATGAGAAGCAGTTTATACTCTTATACTTGTCGGAGTGTTGAGAAGCAGTTTATACTCATATACTCTTCGGAGTATTGAGAAGCAGTTTATACTCATATACTCTTCGGAGTATGAGAAGCAGTTTATACTCTTATACTTGTCGGAGTGTAAGAAGCAGTTTATACTCTTATACTTGTCGGAGTCTTAAGGAGCAGTTTATACTCATATACTTGTCGGAGTCTCAAGGAGCAGTTTATACTCATATACTTGTCGGAGTCTCGAGAAACAGTTTATACTCTTGTACTCTTTGGAGTATCGCCGTTCTCAATTGGCTTACCCTAGCGTTATAACGCCGGCTTTAAC